ATTTCAGCGAGATCGCCGCTATTCGGCCGAAATCTTGCGATATCGCATCGCCAGTTTGGAATCAGCGACGGGGCGATATCGCTTAGATTCCTCTTGAAAATTTTCATGATTGCTGAGATTTTTAAGCTGTTTTCTTCCATAGATATTCAACAAGCGATTTAAGCTTGATAAAATGCATATTCTGTGATTCGATTGTTTCTAACGTGATTTTGAACGTTTGTATATCTTGTTTTAATTGTTTTAAAGCTTACATAATCTATTTGCGAAGTACTTCTGCATTTTTAGTTGAAAAAAATAGGTCAAAAGATTAGTTCAAAGTTTGAAAAAGCAAATTTCTTGGAGTCAGAATCCTCTCCAGAAGGCTCATGAAGTGACTTTTCACTTACAAAGAACTCCGATTAGACGAAGTGGCCTTTCAAAATAAGTTACATACCACTTTGAAGAGCATTAAATACTGATTTTAAATCTTATTTCATTATCTGCCAAGCGTCTCTTCTGCATGCTGAGTTATGAAGGTTTTTGGGACATTTAAATAAAATCAACTTTTACGGACCTTTCAGCTCTTAAATAGTACAGTATGTAGTGGTGTTTTGGACAGAAGGTATTCTTTGAGTGGAGCGCCCTGATTCAACATTGGACCATTAGAGCAATTCTGACGGATTTTGTTCTAATTATGCATTCAATCTTCGGACCAAAAATGCTCATAACTCGGTGTCCAGAGGCGCTTGGCAGATACAATGAAGGCAGATTTGGAATCAGTTCGATGTTCGATGTCCTACAAGGATGTTTTAGTTTCGTATGGAAAGGCCACTTCGACCAAACGGACCTCCATTGTTAGTCACTCACATTTTCTCCACCAACCATGGAACGAATGCATTCTTGCTCCAGTTTCATGACTTCATCGCACTTTCAAAAAGCTTTTGCGAGTACACACTACAAGACACTATCACGTCAAATTATCTGAATAAAAAAGTTTTTATTGCGTTGCAGATAGATGCAATGTAAACTCCTACTCTGAACCTACAATCTAGATCAAACATTCGGAGAACTACGCCTGATCTCCAAACTGGAAGAACTTTGACTGAATCAACCTCATAAGTAGGTGGGCTGTTAATAGCAATGCTTCAAACAGATGTTCTAAGGAAATAATCTTCTGAGAATAAAGGCGGTCGATGAGTCAACGTTGTAGGTGAAAGTGTAAAGCACGAGCTAGACTGCCGTACCAACAACTCTTCACACTCGTGGCATTTATGTATATCTTATATATAAAGCTGAATGTCTGTTTGTATGTCTGTCTGTATGTCTGTCTGTCTGTATGTGTGTACGTATGTTCCGAATAGAAAATTCCATTTCTGAACCGATCCGGACCAAACTTGGCACACATACACTTCGGGCCCCGGCGGGTGTCATAGGCTACTTTTCGTCATCGATCGATATCGATTTTATCGATTTTTTGCAAAATTTGAGCTACGGGGCTGGGAGTTGGCACAGGGGGGTAATCGAGCATGCTGATCATCCCCAAGGGGGTGATCAGCATGCTCGATTACACCCCTGTGCCAAATTCCAGCCCCCTAGCTCAAATTTTCAAAAAATCGATAAAATCGATAAAAGTAATGGACGATCTTGAAAACTAATATTGTATTCGTAATCTGCATGCTCGATTACCCCCTGTGCAAACTCCCAGCCCCGCAGGTCAAACTTTACAAAAACATCGATAAAATCGATAAAAGTAATGGACGATCCTGAAAACTAATATTGCGTTCGTAATCAGCATGCTCGATTACGCCCCTGTGCAAAATCCCAGCCTCGCATGTCAAAATTTACAAAAAATCGATAAAATCAATATAAGTAATCGATAATTCTGAAAACTAATATTGTATTCGGAATCCCCATGCTCACTTCCCCCCTGTGCCATCTCCTAGCCCTGTAGGTGAACTCTGCAAAAAAAATCGATAAAAATCGGTAAAATCAACATCGATCGATAACGAAAAGTGGACTGTGACACCCGCCGGGGCCCGAAGTGTATGTGTGCCAAGTTTGGTCCGGATACGGCGGAGCCGGGTAAGCCAGCTAGTACATTTTAAAGTATGAAAAAGACCATTAATGCATGTACAAAAGCGGGGCAAAAACTTGGCCTTTTTTCATTTGCTCGTACAATCTATGGGTCTCAAGATTTCTAAGAGCTATTTTTGGTCATAAAATAATCTCCAAATTCGCTGTCTAGTAGGTTGTAAAAAAGTTCCCGGCACTTGCGAAATGTTTCTCAAACTATTGTAGAAAAGCTGCAAACTTCGCTGCAAAGGCAATGTTGTCTACAAGTTATATTCAATTTGTTATGTCCTCAGCGCTTCATCTCGGGCCACCAGCATGCGCAGTAGGGAAAAAAGGTCGACTTGAAAATTGGCCTTTTAGTGCGGAATTTCTCAGGCGAAGAGGGCTGGAGAGCTCATATTCGGTAGTTATCTCTGCTGAGGCTATTTATAGACTGTGTCACAATTCTGGAGCACAGCCTGTGCAGAAAGTTTTCTCAAAAAATCAAAAAATCCGCCATTTTTACATCTCAAGAATGCCCCAGTTTTTGAGCAAATGAGTTTGAAGTCTTCCTTTTTATACGGAAAGAATCAAATCTTTGATTGCAGCAAACATTGTTGGGGTGATGTCTTGCACTTCTTTTAAGCCCATCAGAGGCGTGAATCCTTACATGATCGACGCCGACTGCGAAAACAGGTACGGTCAAAGGCAAGTTTGAGAGCTTGTAATTTTTGTGCGCGTATTGTAAAATCCAAGCGCACCTGTGGTCCAAAAGTAGACAACACCTAATTCAGAACAACCAATCCTTGAATGGTTTTCTTTGCTCACTGCGAAAAAAAATGGCAGCAAAAAGAAAAAATATGAAATTTTCATCGTTGCACGGACTTCCTTTTTGGTGTGTAGATCAAACACGGCTTGATATCGATAAAAATTGAACGCGAGTCTGCAAAGTCTGCAAATGTTGAGCTTTTTCCTAGAAAATCATATAAAATATTCGCCGTTATAATTCAATCGAGTGCGAAGAAAATGAGTTTGAAAATGAAATTTCCAATCTCCGGGAACTTTCTTTACAGCCTAATATTAAAGCCACTAGATATGCCTACCGGTTGTTGTAGGAGAGTAGCACCATTTAAAAAGACGGATTTAAGACAAACTTGCAAAATTTTTCTTTGTTCTTTTACTGAGCGCTTTCAAAAGGGGTATTATCTATCTTATAGGCAGAAGTTTGTGTAGTCCATGAAATTAAGTTTATTGGAAAATGCTGGTTTTCAAAAAAGTTATGATATTTAAGACTTGAAAATTGCAAGCAGGCAAAACTTTTACGGCAATCTAACTTTAAGTCGGTTTGAAATTTTTTTGCTTTTTCGACTTATCATATAGACAAGTGGTAAGATAGGTAAATGTTCAATCATTATCCGACGCAGGTTCTCTTCCTGTTTTCAGCTTGTTTTTTGAACTAATTGCTCATGTGGTCACTATAGTAGTCGCCAAGGTTTACTTTTTATCTTTACTGATTTTTTAAAAATTTCGCTCACTTTGGAAATGTTTCGATAATAAGCGAATAGAAGAGTGAAGCGAATGCAATTTTTGGCAACTATGGCTTGTTTTTATAAATGTTCTGAACGTTCATTTGATGCGCTCATGACCAACTCATAAAGTTTTCGATTTCCGATACGTGAAGTCTGGGGCAAAAACATCATAATTCATATTTTGAAAGCATTCAGATGCCGAGAACTTTAAGATGTTATACCGGATCCGTGAACGCTTATTTACTTTGTAAAAATCAGTATTAAATCATATAGCAATTTTGTAAGTTTCATATTCGGGAGCTCCATAGGTGTTCGATGCACTTGTGCAATCGACTCAGCAAAAGTGAATCTATCCGAGAAACTATTCCGAAAAATACTGAGAAGCCCATGGGAGTAGCCATGAAAGTATTGTATTGCACATTGTTTGTTCTACTTGACTGCTGTCTTCCAGAAGTATGAAATGAGAAATGAATGAAGGAAATAATAAATTCAAATATAAAACGAACTATTGGAAAGTCGCTGAGGTTGAACTGGTAAGAACCATGGTTCAAACTTTGGCGATTAACGATCTCAAGAGCAACTGATTGAAAACATGTTTGCTGGAAAGAGGAAGAAGCTGCTTCAAAAAATGTTTGAAACGTTTGCCTACCTTTACTCCATCCTTTTATGGTAGTCGAAAAAAGCGAGAACATTTGGACCGACCTAATGTATGCACTTCAAACACTGCGCACGTTGCGCAGCTCACTCTGGGTTTCGCAAATCACAGAGAAGAATTTTTTCCAACAGGTGATTTTCTCGCCACCTCTTCAGTTCCAATTCATTCTCAAATATGCAGCGGAATTCCAAAATTCAGAATAATGGTGATGTGTACAATGCGTCATATTTCAGGATGTCACATTAACTGGGATGTCCAGATGTACTGACGGTGGCTTGCACTCTTTAATTTGGACTGAGCAGCTGCATGTTTTGAAGTCCGTACTTATACCGGAGTCTGGTGTTTTACCGAAATTTTTCATCAGTTCTACTTATGCGATACGCATGAGGCTCAATAGTGGTTCAGTTTCATATTTCTCAAAAATGCTCCTGAGCTAAAGCTTCCAGGCTTTTCCAAAACCATCTTTGAAAAAACAGTTAATTTCTGTTTTCGACTGAGATTTCTACTATATTCGTGTTTGAAGGAGTAAATAGGACGGTCAGCGTTTGGCTCCTTTGAAATTTTTCTGCTCATTCTTAGAGGCTGCGTTAAAATTGAGAACATTGTGATCATATAAATTCTTCAGCCCCTTTTGAGATTTGGTAGACTTTTAATGATTTCCGCATCAATTATTATATGAGACGTATTCTTTGTCCCCATGCATCATCCCTGAGGTGCCCTCTCGCTTGCCTGTAATCTTCTTTAGCAATTGAGCACATTCACGAAGGACTACGTTCCAGAAAGCAATGTCTTACAAGTTATTTCTGGCCGTGTTCCTGCTGCATACATGTGTTGCTGCAAGCATCTTTAGCTGTTTTGGTAAGTCGTGTGTTTCAAGAAACGAGGAAAATGCTTACGTAAGGGTGAGTTTCAGTTTCTGTTTGATCTTGTCGTTGGTTGTTTCAGTTGACAACATTTATTACAATTTTCAGTTGACAACATTTATTACAATATTTGACCTTTGGCAATATTTGCAGTGCGTTGAAAACTGTTTCGGATTTTACACGAAAGAGCATGCATACGACATCCAGAAATGTATTGAAGACTGCAAATACTTGAAGGAGGAAAAATCGACATCTGAAAAGCTCAGTCAGAAGCTCAAGGACTTAGCAGAGAAATTCGATCTTGTTGAATTCGGATTAAAGGGAGGATGGAAATTCAAATTGTTTTAAACACGTTTGTTCTCGCTCAGGAAAGAATCCCAACATACAATTGCTTTGCTTGTTTGCACAGGTAAATAAAAAATAATATAAATCAACGTTGTTATATAAATTCCTTCTTGTGGCATTCTATGACTTATCAAAAAGATGACTGTTTAACCTAGTAGCCAATAAGATCGTCTTAACGCATGAACCAAACTTTTTCCCGTGAAAGAGAGTTTTACCTATTATTTGTGATTAGAAAGCATCTGATTGTGTGTAATAACATAGCCAGATCTGGATTTTTTCGACAGCAAAATGTTTTTATTTTTCATTTTTTCTGAACCTTCAAACTTTTTTAATTTTCTTACACCTAACATGGATTCGTAAAGGAATAGCAAAATTTCGTACGTCGTCATGATCCACATTTTTAACGCGTTTCGGACCGCGAAATCGCGCGCGGCGATAAGGGGGGTACTTTCAGCCGTTAGCCAAAAGGGACATTAATTCGTAGATTGTGTGGTACATCTGCAATCAGCATGTCAGATAAGATCCATACCCAGAGTTCTGAGTGAATTCGAAGTGTTTGAATTCTGTCGTCTGAGAAGGACATCTGTGCTTTCCTGAAAGATAGGAACAAGAACTCAGTCTCTAATTGTATCCAAAAGCATCTATGTTGTACATGACACACGTCATTATTGGAACTACGGTTTTCCTCTGTGTATTCAAAGCTAAGAAAAGTTGCGACGTCGCACGCGTCGTTCGCGTTGCCGCACTTCGTTGCAACTGATGTTCGATTCGTCCTCATATCTCGTGAACAAAAATCAATGGCACAGCTCTACAGACCCTTTCGAAAAGGAGGAGCTTAGGCCTTTGACTTTATAACTTTGGACAAAAAGAAAACCTCCTGTAAACGTTGAAAAGATCCTTCAATGGCGCGTGATGCACCATGTGCAGCACCGGTCCGAAACGTGTTAACATATGAAACTGTTTCATCCACCGAGATACTTGACAGCTACTTAGCAGGTATTGAGACGATGAATATTAATGATTTTTGAGATAAAAACTATATCGCAATAACACGAATGAAATGGCAAATGCAAATCACTTTTTATAATAGAAGCAGAGATTACCTGAAGTAATTTTCAGCGATAAGAGAAAAAATTTGCTGTTGCGCCCGTATCACTGCTTTTTGAAGGTGGTGATGATAGTTGCCACCGCTAGGTCCTAAAGTACTAACTTTTCCAGATGAGTCTTGCATATGATCTGATCTGATGCTTCTGATGTGAATCTTTCATTCTGAGCCTTGCAGACCATCTGAAACATTTATGACAATGCTTTTTCTGAGCTACCCATTGTGCTTTCAGCATTTACTTTGCCAAACTTAAAGCGCTGTTGTATGTGACCGTAAATGGGAGTGCATCTCAGACCCAAAAGTATTAGGTTGTCTCATAAGTTTCTTTAATATTGACTTTTTACCGCAATAAGTCATACACTCCTCAATAGCGATTAGAATGCAGGTAGCATTCGATAGAGCAAAGCAAGCTCTACAAGAAGGAATGTACGTGTTCGCACCAGCTTCAGCACATCACGAGTCAGAAGCCGAATTCTGAGAACTTTCAGATGCCTAAAAAAATGGAATTTTTTATAACTTTGTCCAAAGAATACCTACCAGATCCCAAACTCGAATATGCATATACACTCCGCATAACACATTCATATATGCCGTTGCTGTGTTTGCTTCATTGCTAGAAATCGAGAAAACTAGAATTTTCAAGTTTTCAAAGAAGCGATGCTACGCTGTTCTCACTTAGGTAAATGTACACTACAGACCTTTGAAGATACAGCGGTAAATTTTCGCTTCCTGGAAGGGCTAGTTCTTGAGAAACACAGATTAGCTCTTTTTGCTAGGGTATCTTATGTTGAAATTATGTTTCGGGAACTAGAGCTTATAAAAGGCTGAAAATTTGTGACCATACTGTAAAATGCCTGTAGTGTACGTTTACCTATTTGAGAACAGCGTAGCATCGCTTCTTCTGGAAGCTTGAAAATTTTAGTTTTCTCGATTTCTAGCGCAGAAGCAAACACAGCAACGGCATATATGATTGTGTTATGTGAAGTGTATATGCATAAGCGAGTTTGGGATCTGGTAGGTTTTCTTTGGAGACAAAGATATAAAAAATTTCATTTTTTGGGCATCCGAAAGTTCTCCGATTTCGGCTTGTGACTCGTGATGTGCTGGAGCTGGTGCGAACACGTATCATCTATTCTACGACTAGGAGACGCGTGACCGCATTGCGGACATTGTCTTAATATGTTTAGTTTGTTCTTCCCTGTGTCCAAAGAGTGCATGAACGTAGGCGAGATAAATGACAAGTATAAACCTGCTAAGTACACGATCAAGCTTGTCTAAACAATGTGTGCAAAGCAGTCTCGCGTCTCCTAGTCCTAAAATGAATGATACATTCCTTCTTGTAGAGCTTGCTTTGCTCTATCGAATGGTATCCTGCATTCTAATCACTCTTGAGGAGTGCGTGGCTTATTCTGATAAAAAGTCGAAATGGAAAAAAAAACTTATGAGAAAACTAACGCATCCAAGGTACCTTGGTTTTGTAGCTCTCAAATTATGATGAGCTTTGTAGTATTTTTGCACCAACATTTGAAGACATAGTGGGGCAAACACAAGACTAGGGATGCATGGGCCCATTTGTAAGTTGTATGCTATCTGGAACCCTATTTTTGTCACGATCTGAAATTTTGGATCATAATAATCCTAACAACTACTTTTGACAATCTTGGGACATGGATTCCCTGAGCTGAGTACGAAACATACTTTTGAATTGGAAAGATTTGGATCAATTGCATGAATTCTGCTTTGGATCAACAATTTCAGGATTCAGTTCATATTACACCAATTTTCAAAGCATTGAAATTATCTCAATTTTCACTTCATGTTGACTACAGGAAAACAGGAAAGGAGGGTGCGGTAAAACTTAAAAAATAACCACATTATCTTAAAACTATATAAGCACAAGCGCATGAGAGAGGACTAACAGCTTGTTTAGTCGATTCGAAAATATAGTACGACGAATTTAGACAATACTTTGTAATACTTGTCCTAGGACTTAACAGGAAATGGTCAGAACTTAACCCAGCCTTTCCAAACCTATACATATATCGCCGTACTCGCCTTAGAACGCTGAGCTCAAATATATTATTATCTGCCGAACGACTATAGAAAGGGGTTATCGAGCTTTTGAATGTGCAGTTTGTTAAGTTTTTGTAATGCAGGTCCCATAAAAAACGTTCCAAAAACACTTCTTTAGGTTTCTGGCAACGTCCTCTCTTGTAACTAGAATACTCGTAAGCACTGCAATTATGCGCCCTCAGGCTGTCTTGCAATGAATCATATCCGTTAAAACCCGAATAATTTTCATTTTTAAATGCTCATAACTCCCTCCAACTCGTTGGACAAATAGCATACATAAATTTGAATTACCGTTTTAAGGCGAGTTCGATGGTATATATCTTGTATGGAATGGCTAGGTCGAGTTCTGACCATTCCCTCGTTATGAGATTTATTCGTTTCAAAAATGCGGCTAGCAATTTCGCAGAAGACGGTAGCAGAAGCGGGATACTATCGCTAACAAAACTCAGAAAATGTGCTGGATTTCGCACCTGAAAGAAGCTTTGAAAGAAGCAGCGAAATACTAGCATGAATTTTGAAGTAAAGAGCAACTACAAAGACAAGAGAAAGATTACAAGTCTGAACTTTTTGGGAGGAGAACATCACAATTTATGTTTGCTGAACTTCATAAGGTGATATTCGTTCATGTTGTGATTAGAAGTGTGAAATCTCTCTATACAGGAGAAAGCATGTCTAGACTCGATACCGTTTCTTTAGCCCTTTTCTCAAAGTTTAGCTCACACTGAGGCCGCTTTCTTTCTAGCGGCCTTAGTATAAATGATTGAACACTTTTAGAAAAACCAAAATTTTTTTCATTTGTTGATTTGCTCATTCATAACACTTGAATAGCACCAAAAAATGAAAAGGAACTCAAACCAATACGATACTAGCTAATCTCAAAACTCAGGAAGATAATATCTTATGAAAAGACGTAAACGACCATAAGTCAAATGCAGTATAAAATATAGATTAGATTTATTAGTTTGTTAAATTACAAACGCAACAGGGAAAATCCTACAACCCTACATCTTCTAAAAACTGTAGTGCCCTTCTTTTGAATGCCAGCGAGCATGCGAGCAAACACTAGTTGACTTGAGATAAAAATTCCGTTTTAGAAGATAGCAAGATTACGAAATGGAGAATTGGATGAAGCGGTTTAGCAATTTATCTTAGGATAGGACTAATTTCAAGCAGATATAAGCTGGGATACTATTTGGTGTCAACTAGCTCTCAGAAAGCACCAGCGAGGATAGGTTTTCTGTTGGATGAGACGAGCTGGTTTATCATTATGAACTCGTAAATATAGTTATTAATGATGAAATAGAATAGAATACAGGTAGCCAAACATTCCATTCATCAGGCTGATTACCCGAGAGTAGGGGAAGCTGGCGTTCATGAATTAATAGCGGATGAGCTGATGATGTACGGTGTCCCAAAAACTTTAAGCCCAAATTTCCAACGTAGTAACTTTGTTAATATTCGCCACCTTTCAGTCGAATTTTGCGTTTAAGTTCTCCATTTAATTGCCAGTGATCCACAAGAACTGCATATTGTAGACCGAGCTCCACCCTACATTCACAATGCAAAACTCAATATGCCCTGTTCGTTAGTGTAGGATTAAAATACAAACACTCAAAGTAGTGCCGTGCCAATTAGAAGAAAAAGTTCTTGGAAACAAAAACCTGAAAAAGCTGAAAACTTCAACATATAATCAGTTTGAGCCACTAATTTTAGCTGTAAATCCTGCATTTTTTCGGTAAACTACCATTCCAAAGTAATTCCGATATATACATAAACTAAAAGTGATGAAAATCATCTACATGTACGAAAGGCAAACGAGTTGAAA